ATTGTGCGGGTTCTAAGAATTGCCCCTTTCAACATCAAGTCCCGCGTAACCGAAACATAATGTGATTGGGACCTTAAGTTAAAGAAGAGTGAATTTGCTATGTTAACTGAAATGCCTCATAATCTTTCTCTTCTCCCCACTGTTATTCCAATAAAAGAAAACTTGGATAAGCAACATCCCTCTCGAGATATATGTGTCTTGAAGCTGTATTGGCTAATGTCAATATAATGTTAATAGATGAAATGTCATTGCGCAGACAGTGATATACTAGACAGCAAATGTGTAAAAGTATCATACAGAAATCTGTTAGTCGGGAGAAAAATCACTTTCTTCCTTCCCCCTGGTGGTTCTAATATTAGATTATTCCATATAACTAAACACCCGGATTTCAGACTTTGCTCTGTATATCTTCAGACATATTTTACCACATAGTTTGTTAACCACAGAGAAAGGGAATTCGGCTGATCTTTGGAATATGGTAACAGGTAGTTTGGTGACATTTTGGAGGCGATAAAGGTTACTAATTAGTACTTTGGTAATAATGTGAGAAGTACTCAGTTCCGATTACGCATTATTTTGTGTGAGGGAAATGAGAGATCATGAAATTTATTTTAAATAATATATTTTTACTGTTTGTTAGAATAAATAAAAGGGAAGCTACAATAGGATCAGTTTTGAATTCTAGTATTGATTTTTATTCGTACTATGCAATGTACGAATAAAAATCAATACTAGAATTCAAAACTGATCCTATTGTAGCTTCCCTTTTATTTATTCTAACGAACAGTAAAAATATCACGTGACATTAATGGACGAATTACAGTTCTTTAATCGGAAAAGGGGGTAAAAAATTTGGAAAAATATCTGTAGTACTATATTATTTTGTATTAAGCTTCATTGTGTGTTGTGTGAAATATTGTTGATTAATTTTCGGATTGCATGGCGCTATCTAAAATGAATTCTAAATTTTTAATGCGTTTATCTGATAATTCAAAAGAATTGGTTGAATGGTGTATGAGTGTAGGTTTAATTACGGATAAGTATGAATGTCCAAAATGTGGAAATGAAATGAGATTGTGTGAAAGGAAGGATATTACAGATAAGTTTGAATGGCGGTGCAAGAAATCTGGTGAAAATGGACATTTTGTGAAACAGAGTGTAACGAAGGGTACGTGCTTTGCTGAAAGTAGTTTGAGTATGTGTGAAATTTTATTAATTTCTTATTACTGGGTGAATAGACTGCCAGTTGACTACTGGATTTCGGATTTAGAAATTAGCAGTAGTACTGCAGCCGATTGGAACTCTTTCTGTAGGGAAGTGTGCGTGCCACGTAATGAAGATTCTGAAGAAGATTAGGTAAGTTAGTATTTTTAATCATTTGAGGATATTATTTTTATGCATTGTTCTAAATGTAAGGAGTAAATAAATAAATATGGTATTATTGAAAAATTGTTATTAGCAATGATTTAGTTTAAAGTAATTAGGATTGTAATCTAATTTTTATTAATTTAATGTATGTGCTTATTTATATTTAAGTAGTGTTTTTTAATTTAATTATATTTTAATTTAATGATCGTGATTTTGTGAGTTATATGTTGTAGTATTTTGGAATACGTTTGAGTAGTATACGTTGAGTATTTTCAGGCATTTTCGTGAAATTTTTCTAATTTATGAGAAAAAAGCAGTGTACATGGATATAGTGAAGAGTGTGCGCAATGCCATTTTTGTGCAATTCTGGGATGTTTTTTTAAGTAAAAATAAGTCGATGCGTACATGGTTTAGTTATATTTTAATTAAATGATAGCTATTTTTGTGAATTTTATGTTTGTAGCAATTTGGTATACGTTTCAGTTGAAGTAAACATGCATGGAAATAATTTTAATATTTGACACTAAGTATTTCTAACCATTTTTAATGTTTGCGGTATAAATTCGTTGGTGACGTTTATAATATAATAGATAATTTAGAGGTAAAAGTTTTTGGATATTTTATTTATTTTATTGGTGGAAATGTTCATCCTTGGAAAAAGTATATACTGTTTCGCTATCAGGTAATTTCATATATGTTCTTTTTACCGGATTTAAAGATTCACAAAATTTTCATGCATTTTCGTGAAACTTTTCTAATTTATGAGAAAAATTCAATGTACGTGGATATAGTGAAGAGCGTGCGCAATGCCATTTTTGTGCAATTCTGGGATGTTTTTTTAAGTAAAAATAAGTCGACGTGTACATGGTTTAATTATATTTTAATTAAATGATAGAGTTTTTTGTGAATTATATGTTTGTAGCAGTTTGGTATACGTTTGAGTGGAAGTAAACGTGTATGGAAATAATTTAAATATTTGACACTAAGTATTTGTAACTATTTTTAATGTTTGCGGTATAAATTCATTGGTGACGTTTATAATATAATAGACAGGTTTCATAGCTACATTTTAGTTAAAAAAATAAGCACCTATAAGCACTTTTCAAGCACATTTTAAGAAAAAAAATAAGCACCTGTCTAATTACATTATACACAACTGCACAACCTTAAAAAAAATTGGACTTGTAATTTAAAATATGAGCAATGCAATATTTATTAAGAGAATGAGCATTACCTCAACAATGGAAAACAATTAACTTTTTTTTTTTTTTTTTAATTTTAAATGACAGTTCAATTTACAGAATTAGTTTACAATGAGAGGAAAAAAATTATGCAGAACTAAACTTTATTACAAAATTTAATGATGATATTTCAGTTGAAAATATAGAAAATAAATAATAATAAGCTATATTAATTGTATTCGTTCGGCACCTAATAATAAATACAATTTATTTTTCCACTCATATTACAATTAAATAATTTAACTTAAATCAAAATTCTGAATATTTTCTAAATTTTCATTGCATAACAGTTTTCCCTTAACATATATCCCAAGCAAAGTAATTTAAGTAAAAAAGAGGCACATTTCTGAAATCAGAAGACAGGAAATTGCTTCATTCAGTCATCCTTTAACAGTAAAAGCTTAACTAACCAGCATACTCGGAAATTCCCGAATTTTCCGGGATAGTAACTGGAAAAAGAGGGAGTGAGGGGAGATGTAGCCGTTCTTTAGATTTAAATTTAGGCTAAATAAATGATTTTGACATTTCGATATGTGCATCATATAAAAAACCAATGGAACTGAGAAATATTCTGCTTAGAAAGCACAGTAAAACTTTTAAAGTGTTCATAAACAAATCTCAGACTAAAACATCAAAATTAATTATCTCCGCAAAATACCGCAAAACATTATTGCGCAACACGTGCGGCGTAATTTTTCCATATTCATATTACGCAATCGGAATCAACATCTGCGGGTATTTGGAGAATAAAGAACTAAATAAAAGAAAAGAAAGAGACTTATTAATCTGGGGTGTTTCTGATTCTAATTTTCAACAGACTGCGTTAAATTTCCGGAATAGAATCAATCTTCGCTTGGGCTGGGTAGACCACAAAAACTTTTATTCCTATTCAAACCAGGTTGGACAGTGACAAAAAAAAAACGGCCGCTGCTTCAATATTAGAGATTTTGCGGAGAAAGGGGAGAACCTCCCAACCTCCGTGCTGTATAATGTATTTAAAAAAAAATGAAATTATTTTGACTATTCGATTACTTTCTTTTTATTTAAGCCATTCCGAATATTATTCCTTAGGAAGCTAATCTGTGTAAAAACACACCCATTTTTAGAAGTTTATCTATACTTCAGCAGTTACTGCAATTATACTATTATAAATATTCATACATATGCTCATAATATAAGCATAATGATCATAATAAACTTGAATGTGAACTGACCACGCGGAACGAGAATGCAAATTTATTAAAATCTTGATAGAAATTCAAACGTGTGTAGTATTTGGGTGGGAGGAAAAGAATACCGAATGTACCGGAATTTTCTACGTTTTCACAATTCTTTGGCCAATGAACGATTGCACCTTTCGCAATTCTTTGACCAATAGAACGACATGCACCTGTCTGTACTCTCGTGCGCATCATAGGTTACGTTAATGCAGAGGAAGGGGGGAAAAGCAATTTCTGGGAAGTATGATTCACCATCTGACGTTGACATTTTATAAGGAAGAAAATGTTGTTTATTTAGTTTCGGCTTTGGTACGGAGGAAAAAATGTGCGTTCATGAAAAGACAAAGGAATTTAAAAAAAAGCACTAAAAGCAAAAATAAGCACTAAAAACAAAAAAAATAAGGGCTTTAAAGAAAAAGTAAGCACCTATAAGGGCCTTTATATTTTATTTTCAAATATAAGGACTTATAAGCACTTGTAAGGACCGCTACAAACCCTGATAGATAATTTAGATGTAAAAGTTTTTGGATATTTTATTTATTTTATACGTGGAAATGTTCATCCTTGGAAAGGGTATATACTTTTTCGCAATCAGGTAATTTCATATATGTGCTTTTTACCGAGTTTAAAGATTCACAAAATTTTCCTGCAAATTTTTGTAATTTATGAGAAAATAGCAGTGTAGATGGATAAAGTTAAGAGTGTGTGCAATGCCATTTTTGTGCAATTCTGGGATGTTTTTTTAAGTAAAAATAAGTTGACGTGTAAATGGTTTATGTGTATGTGCTATTCTGAAAAACGTGCTAGGAGTTTGTGATTGTGCACTTTTTCCCAATTTTGCAGTTAATATTTGTCATGATTAAGCAGTTTTGTTACATAAAATTTCTAGCATAAGTGTAATTCAGCTACTAGGTTGTAGGAAAAAGTGTTGAGTAAATAAAAAGAAAAGAAACATGTCTTTACTTCGTGAAAACAAAATGGCAGCGAAAAAAAAATAGAGGGTTGCTGTAGCAGAGTTGGTCGTCAAATTTTCGCCAATAAATCGCCAAGTTACCATAATCCAAAGATCAACCGGGAATTTAACCTGCAAGATTTTATGTATGTATTTCAATGTTATTTTAATTTATTACTATCACTTAAAAAAAGGTGAATGGGAATTTCCTGAACTTACCAACTATTTTAAATTTTCGTAGTAACTCCAAATGTGTCCAAAATAAATCTCCTGGATCAAATGGTACTTTTTTCAAGAAGTTTTCATGATTTATAGCCATTAGTTCCTTCCCTGAGATATTCCAATCACTTACTTTTACATCAGCAAGATTGAAATGATTAGCAGCCCACTGAAACCACTGTTTTACATGTTCTTCAGTCCAAGAACTAGGATCTATCCCAAATTAATACAAATGATCAGTAAAAATTTTTGAAATGTTAATTTGATACATATAAGATATAAAAGAATAAAACATTTCTGAAATGATCCACTAGCACCAGAAAACATTATTTTTACTAGATAATACTCACAGAAAACTACTTTTTGTTTACTACTATGTAAAATGATAAAAGAAAGGGGACTTGATTGAGCCATTCATTCCAGCTCCAGTTAAACATGGTGTGGTGTATTTAATTATGGCAAAGCACACTAGGGCTATCTGCCTAAGGGGAGGAATGCCTTCGTGGAGGACTTTCTATGGGAAACTGGCTCGTATACACGTTACGCATGGGGAAAACCACGAAAACACCCATGCAGCCAGCCCATTCGTGGGATTAGAACCTCGGACCGAACTACCAGTGTTCAGTGGCTTTATCGCTCGGCCGCTGGTGGGCCCCAGTTAAATGAAGCGAGCAAATTATTAGCGAAAGCTATATTTTACTATGGTTTAAATGTGATTTAAGCATTTGCCATAAAATATTTCATATATAAAAACAGCTTGATACTGTTCATAATTTGAAATGAAATTGCATACATTTCAGCTTTATCCAGCTTTTTATTAAAAAATATTCCACTAGCCATTATTTTTACAATAACTTAATTAATAATAGCTTAAATAATTAATAATAGATAATTAATAACAGATTATCAGTTTTATTAATTTATTCTTTTCCAACTTTCAAGATATTGAAATATAGTGTCAGCAAGAAAGTAATTTCAGTTTTTTAGGGTGAAATAAAACTCAATGTTATCTACACACACACACAGAGAGAGAGAGAGAGAGAGAGGGGGGGAATTGCTTTTTTTTTTTTTTTTTGTTAATCAGTCAAATATCCGTTACTTTGGTCATTTGGTCAATGACTTTTTATCATCTTTTTGGTAAGTTCATGATTCTGTGCTAATAGAACTTCTGGTATTTATCAGCAATAAACTCAACCAAGTGCGATCTGAGATCATCGTTTTACTGAAATTTTTACCATTTAAGAAGTTTCATAAACTTTGAAATAAATGATAATCGAACGGGCAAGGTTGGAGCTAAATGGGGGCTGCGATATCACTTCCCAACCTAACTCCAATAATTTCGTATGTGTTGTTAAAGATGTGAGGGGACAAGCATTGTTTGGTGGAACAGATTCCTTTGTCATTTGCCAATTCTCGCATTTTCTCTTTGACTGCTTTCTCCAATTTTATAAGTCGTTGGCAGTACATATGCGAGTTGATCATTAAGCAGCTTAGAACACATAACACCTCTGTAATTCCACCAAACTGACAGCATGGCCTTTCCTGATACAATTTCAATATGATTTGTGCTGATTCATTATGCTTGGGGCAAGATCATTTCAAATTAATGTTATAGTAGACAGTGGGCAATACTTGTTTCCTCACCAGTGATAATTCATTTAAAAAAAGGGTCAGATACATTATGTTTGAAATGCATATCACAAATATTGCTTTGTTGTGTAAGTTGTAGAAGTAATATAAGTTGTAGAAATCAATATAAATAATGTCAGTTGTAGAAGAACCTTGTATTACTTACCAATTTCTTTCAATTCATTCAGAACCCAAATATTGAGCATTTCAATGAGTCTAAGACATCATATGTGCAATTGTGATACATTTAATCTTTTTGCAATCTCTCACACAGTTTATATGATATTTGATTCAATTGGGGCTTTATTTTGTCATCACCAACTTCAGAATGTCAGACAGAGTGTTGGTCATCTTCAAGTGAAAAATCTCCAGAATGAAAATTTTTAAACCAATTCTGATGCATGCACTCTATTACGTAATCAACAGTGGTGAATTTCACGTACTCTTTGCGAGCTTCAGCTGCTTTCTTGCCTTTCAGAAAATAAAAAAGCAAAATATGTCAAAAATGTTTATTTTTGCACTCCATGCTAAAACTGACTGTATATTAGCAGTTGTAAACAAAAATATGTGGAATTTGTTTTTATAGCAACCTAAAAGCGTCAACTACTAAATCTCCAATGAAAAAAAATTAAAAGATTGACAGAAGCATAACAAAACAAACATAACACTATATATTTGCAGAAACAGAAATTACTTTCTTGCCAACCCAATAATAAAAATATATACATTACATACACTATATATACAAGGGTAAGGTGAACAGATCTTGGCTTGACCCAGAGATGGCACTCCAGTCAGCAAAAATTTGTTTCCTGCCTGGGTGCAGGTGTCATTAGTTCGTATGACAAGTTTTAACTTGTTCTCTCAAGTAGTTTGATTACACGAATTTTCACAGTAGACCTCTTGCATGGTTTTCATTAAAATGGATAAACTTGAATATCGTGTGGTCATAAAATTCTTCGTTTTGTATTTGCATTTTATTAGAAGTTGACAAAAGTTTAGAGTCTCTGCTCCTTTCATGTCAACCATTAAAATTGGGCAGATGAATTTAAACAGGGTTGCACATCCCTTGAAGATGGTCTACATGAAGTATGGCCAAAAACCACAACCACGCCGGAAACCATAAAAAAAGTGCATGATATCATGTTGGACGATAGGCGAGTGAAGGCATGCGAGATAGCTGAAGCTGCGGGGATATCGGAAGAAAGGATGCGAAACATTTTTTATAAAGAATTAGGGATGCGAAAGCCTTGTGCAAGATGGGTGCCGTATTTGCTGAATGCCAATCAAAAGAACAGGCAAAGCAAAATTTTTTTTTAAAAATTCAGCGAAAAAAACTCGCTGAATTCGAAAAAAATTCAGCAAAAAAAATTTTTTGAAAAAAAGTGAAATTTGCTGAATGCCAATCAAGCAAAAGTGAACAGGGGATCCTACCGGTTTTGTGTGAAGATTTGTCATCATGGATGAGACACGGGTCCATCACTACACGCCAGAAACGAAACAATAGTCCAAGCAGTAGGCGGAAGCCGGAGGTTCCTTGCCAAACAAAGCGAGGTCAATTGCATCTGCTGAGAAGGACATGACCAGTGTGTTTTGGGATGCCAAAGGGATCCTGTTAATTGGTTACCTTGCAAAAGGAAGAACAATTACAGGCAACTATTACTCCAACCTTCTTGACCAGCTGGATGCCAAAATTCACCAGAAGAGGCCTGATTTGAAGAAGAAAAAAAATCATCTTTCATCAGTACAACGTACTTGTGCAAAAGGATGTGTTGGCAATGGGAAAACTGCGGGATTTGTGGTACAATTTGCTTGGCCATCCCCATATTCTTCTGATTTTGCATCCTCAGACTCCCATCTATTCCCAAACTTGAAGAAATTTGTTTCTGGGAAGTACTTTGCATCCAATGAAGAAGTTAAGAAGGTTGTAGATGAATATTTTCACAACCTTCCAAATTCTCACTTCCGAGAAGGAATGATGTTGGACAAACGCTGGACCAAGTGTGTTGAAGTCAAGGTATGCAGCAAAATGAAATCATTTTTAAACTGAAAGTAGCAGTCTTTCATTGTCAGGCCAAGAACTTTTCACCTTACCCTCGTATATGTGTGTGCGATGATTTGGGAATGACGCAGATAGATGTTGAAGCACACACAGTATATCAAAAATGAAGAAACTTGGGGATTACATAAATGCAATAAGACGTAGTTGAAACAGATGTAAATCTTATTTCTTTTATTGTAGTTAAACATTTTGTGGCCACAATTCACTAGGCACATTACTCATGCCTGCTTCAGAACAGTCATGTTTTAGATATTTTTGTGATAAGAAGAATAGCATCAAGCAACATTTTAGCAAGAACACAGGTAGAAGCAAAAAGTGCAATTATCCAGTATGGCAGCATATTAAGAAAGGTTTGGTTTAAGTTCTGAATTAGTTATGTCATCAACATTATTAAGTTATATCCAGAAATTGATCTGGAACTAATGCAGTGCAGAAAAAAGTTATTACTATTTATAGAATAGATGGGGGAAGTACTCAAATTAAAAAAATAATTCAGGTTTACTGTTAATTTATGAGTTATAGTTACATATTTTTACACATATACATACACATAAGTTTAAACCTACCCACAGGAATATTATAGGTTTCTTGTAGCTTCCGAAATTGAGGAGCAATCGTCCAGCGAGTAACCTGATGAGAATCCTCAGAGGCAGTTATTTTTATTTTCTGTGTAGGTGGTGATTCTACGAACGTGGTGTCTCCTAGAAGCAATTTAAAAAATCAATATAATTTTTTAGAACATAAAATGGACAAAAGTAGACTCGGTGTAAAATGTACTAAGTCAATGTTGCCTATGTAATGCAGTGTCATGCAGTATATCACCAATTTTAATTTCAATAGTTAAAAATCAATAGACATAGAATATGTTTGGAAAATTCATTATTAATACAGTATACATAATTATAGATAATTTAGATTTAAAAGATTATTCGCATTATTATTAAGAAAAAAAAAATACTGTCAGTACTTTACAGGTAAAGCAGGGTTTCTTAAACTGTGAATCATGACCTGCTGCAGAGGAGTCGCCAAATATTTTAGCAGTTTTTATATTTCTTATTCTAATAATTTTACAGTTACCAAATATTTTTATATAATGTATCTGAAAATAGATAAAGATAAGTCAATACAGACAAAGAAAAAAATGGAAATGTTTTGACGCATTCTTTTTATAATATAAACGCTCATTTTCCTTGCTTTGCATGTGACGCTGTCATTTCGTCTGTCACTTATTTAAACTTTTCACATTTTTCTTTGTCTTAAAATTAAAATTTAAAGTTAATGATCTAAAACTGCAAAAGTATATTACAGTACAAGTAAAAAAATTGACAGTTTCATTCACGCGTGTGTCGGATTTGCCCAATATTTATGGGGTCCCACAAAATCTTTGTAAATATTATGAGGTCCTGGGGGTTGTGAAAAAAATCTCAATGATAAAAAGGGGTCGGAACTGGAAAAAAAAAAAAAAAAGTTTAAGAAACCTTGAGGTAAAGGAAATTAAAGATTACAAAATATTCATTTAATTTCAGATGCAGCAGATTTCTCTGATTGCTTTAGTACATAAATTAATATGTATCAATTTCTGAACTTCAGTTCTAGCATACTGAATTTACAGGTATGCACAAATTGCTACATTTCATTTTGCATAAAAAAGGCTTTTACATTAATGTAATTGATTAACTAAATCCTCAGATTCTTTTAACCTCTACCACACAAAAAACTGATATCCTTTAAATATTTTTATGTGGCATACAGACATAAAACACTAACAAAGAAATATTATACATTTAATAGCATCATAAACTGTGAACAAAGAACTTAAAAATTACAAATTAAAGACAATGAAAAGAAACGAAATGGAAACAGTATGTGGATATCCACAGATAAATATTAAAACATGCTAGAAATTTGCTTCATATGGAGAAAGTCACTATATGCATCACATAATTGGGGTCTCATCGATTACTCCAGTTTTCGGAGTGCAGTTTGTTCATGCAATTTCATACTTGCCAACCTACAACACTCAAAAATCAAGAGATTTCTTTAAGAAATCAGGAGAATTTTTCAACGACAAAAAAAATTTTTTAAATAATAAAAATATGTAGAAAAAAATATATTTTTAATAATGAATTAATTTTAAACAGTAACTAATTAATATCTAAAAATAAAAATGTTTAAAAACTTTTTATAGTTTTTAACTTTAAATAGTTTTCGTCCTTGCACCTGAGTATTTCTTAAAGATTTTACTGCCGGGAAACATCTATTGAAAAAAGCTGCAGCATGATCTGAAGCATTCAGAGGCAGGTTGTGCTTCAGTAAAAAGGCAGAGAACTGGCATACTGCATTAATAACATTTTGGTCCTTTGTTTCCACAGAAAAATTTGATTTTCTTTCCAGTATAGCTCATGCTGTCCTTGTATACACACGTTTTAGAACATCGGCCTTCCAGCGAGCGAAATCGAAAAATCGCAATAACAAACAATACACATTGCAATATTACATTTCCTTGACAAAGTAATACAAGGTAAGACTGAAAAGTAGGGTGACTGATGTCATAATAATAACTGCATTAGATACTTACACATAAATACATCACTGTCTTTTAAAGTAGTTCCTGCTGTCTACAATACACTTCTGACAACGTTCATACAAGTTCTGGAAACTTTTGAAAAAGTCCTCCTTTGAGACTGTGTTAAATCCCTTAATAACAGCAGCTTCAATGCACGCCCTCATACTGAAATGTGTATTAGATGGTTCTTCGTGCATCAAAAGGTTACAGAGTTATTTCACCCTCCTTATTCCCCTGATCGTACGCCACCAGACGTTTTCCTCTTTCCACGTCTGAAATTGGCACTAAAGGGACACTGATTTTCAAGCATCTCCAGACATTCAAGCTGCTGTTACCAAGGAACTTAACACAGTCTCAAAGGAGGACTTTTTCAAAAGTTTCCAGAACTTGTATGAATGCTGTCAGAAGTGTATTGTAGGCGGCGAGAACTACTTTGAAAGACAGTTATGTATTTATATGTAAATATATTATTATGACATCAGTCACGTTACTTTTCGGTTTCACCTTGTAGAAACACATTTGTGTACGATTTTTGAAAAGTACATGAATAGTTTAACATTTTTCGCAGACATAACTATGGCAAAGGATCGCTGTTTCTAAAACTGTTTCAGAGAAGCATGTGAAACTTGCACTGCTCTAGCCAAACGAACGAAATAAACAATCTCGATCTTGCTTTATGCTCATTGGCTAATATATGCTAGATGATCTGCAGCGGCGCTTAATAATCTCATTAGAGAACTGGAATACGATGTTTTCGGAATCTCATACACAAAGCAGAAGCGTGCTCTATCTCAGCGATGAAACGACTTTTATTATACATGCATCAAGGGAAAAAAGAAGCACTTTTTGGGGGCAAATAATGAAGTATTAAGTCAAACTACATAAAAATCATGAGAAATTTTAAGAATAAGAGAAAGTCGGAAGAAATACGCTTAAAATCGTATTGGCAGGAGTATGGTCAGAAATCAGGAGTCTCCCGCCTAAATCGGAAGAGTTGGCCACTCTGCAAATTTATTAATGCTTGTGAAAAATCATCAAGACAGATTTAGTTTCCAAATTTCTAGCCATTTATTCCATGATTTAATAAATCAGCATTGTTATTACTTACGTTCAATGAAATTTTAAATGTAGAAAAAATAAGTATATTACATATTTACATTAAACATACCTTAAAATTAATTCTAAATATAATGTATGCTGCATTTCATAAAATGCATAGATTAGAGTACCTTGGGAATTCAACACAGGTGACAAAGGAATTTCTTCTGCAGGCTTGAGAACATCAATTATATTTATCTTCTTCACACCTGCAATAATATAAGGACGCAGATTTTTTTTACATATATTGGAAACCAACACAATTTTTCGTAATCATAATGCATATTAATACTTAACACATTGTTTGCCACAGAATTTTGCATAAATTAGTTGAAAAATGACTACAGTACAAAGTCTTTAATCCAGACTCGTCGGGACTTCGGCCATTTCATATTAGGGGTTTTTCCGGATTATAGATCATCAATTTAAATCTGGTAAATGGCATGCAGAAATTATAAAATTAAAAATATGAAACTGTAATTTATGAAATAAAGAGCAATTATGATCTAAAGAATATCAAAATTTACAAAAAAAAAAAAAAAAAAAAAAAAAAACTTAATATTTATTTGTTTACTTTATTAAACATTTCTTACAATGTAAGTTGTTTAAGTTGCTTCATTTTTTGTGCTAATACTTTCTCTTTAATTCTATAAACGGACATAACAGTTCTATAACAGTTCCACTGTTCAAATCCTGTAATTGCTGTGTCGAGAATACCGACTAACTTGTCAATCAAAATTTTTTCGTTTTCAATAACCTCTCTGTCACTTTCTTCACTATCGGAAGCAGTACATTAAAACATGTTTTCGCTTTGTAGATCCTTTGGCAGCTTTAGAATCAGACTCTTTTTGACATAATTGAAAGTTCACGCTTACTTTTTATAAAACTGCTCTAACAGTCTGCAAAATATAATAAGCCGGATCCAATCAGAAGATTAAGGAACAATGCAATCTGCAACATTAACTGAAACAGATAATTAGATAATTTTAGTTTAGCTTATAACATCCATTATACATTAAACGTGCATGCGTAAACGCATATGCACATGTGTAAAGGTTTTATGTGCATGGGTAAACGCATATGTGCATGCATAAACGATACACATGCGCAGAAAGTTTGTAGCTTTGAGGTCCGGATTATAGATCAGTCTGGATTATGGACGTCCAGATTAAAGACTTTGTACTGTATTGGTTTCAGGTTTATTCTTATATACAAAATTAGTATTTTATTATTTTGGTGCACTTTTCAACATTTTTTTTTATACGCAGCCACTATGCCCATCATGGTGTTAATGAAATAACTTTTAATAAAGGAATCCAATGGATCTCCTTGTTGATCATGCATGCCAGATCTTAATATTTTCCATTTTCTTATCAGTAACATTATGTTTGCACCTAATGAGTTACTTTTTTAAATACATTCTTCCACAAATGAGCTTATACGAGTTTCTTTGAAATAATATTCTTAAAACAAATTAAAGCAGTATGCAAAAAGGACAAACTGGTCACTTTATACAGTGAAATACATAGAGAGGGTGACTGGCAGTGCGGAAGGACAGCTCAAAGATCTGTCTACTTGCCAGCAGCCATCTATGCCCCCACGGCGTTACTAAAATAACCAGATGTCAGTCACCAGTGACCCCCATAGCAGCCAATGTGTGCACCAAAAGTACATAATTTTAGTGCTTTTAATACAAAGATATTCATAAAAATCTGCACAGTAAATATTCTTAAAAAATAATATCAAGCATTTCTTCATTCAAGCAATGTAAAAATATACATTATGTATACATTCAGCACACAAATCTGGAAGCATACCTTCTTTGTTTATAACTTCTACATTTATTTGGACCATGCCTTCTCCCTGGACACACTGATTGACTAAATTTTTGGTAGCATCCAACTATTAAAAACAAAAAATTAAGGTGGAAATAAAAAAGCCCACATATAAATTTAGAATAAAAAGAATATATAATAACTTATCATATGTAAAATTTTTATTCTTAATATATTCTTGTGAACCATTAAAATAAAATGAATTAAACCATGGATCCATCAAACTTTTTGACACAGTATTAAGTCCAAGATAATGATTTGTCAAGACTTTGGTTTTTCCAGAATTTTCTGGATTTTAGATTTTTTAGATCTTTAGTTTAAATTTAGTAAGATGGTGTGTAAAAATTAAAACTATGAAATAACTGTTTATGAAAATAACGAAGCATTTATGGCATTAAAGGAATCATAACTTACAAACAAAAGCTCAATTTTTATTTGTTTGCCTTATTAAACATTTCTTTCAATGTCAGTTGTTACAAGTTGCTTCGTTTTTTGTGCTCATACTTTCTCTTTAATTTTATAGATAATTTCTTGCTCTGTTTTAAAGATCCATTGTTTGAATCTTGTAATTGCCATGTCAAGAATTCCCACTAGATTGCCAATCAAAATTTTTTCATTCTCAACAACTTTTCTGTCACTTTCTTACTATTGGTAGTGATTTTTCCTAGATTTATAACTATACTACAGACTTTGCCATCTAATAGCGATTTAATTATTAGAGCATTATGATTGCAGTGAAACATTTCTGCATATCATCTCCATTTATTACCACTTCTTCCGATTTCTTCGCAAATTCTATTAATTGGAAAAGTTCACAGATTGTTTGCAATATCTGATAACCTTCACATTTGTAGCAGTATGTTTTTCCACTAAATTTTGTCTTGCTTCTGTTGTGCACTGAAGAAGTTAAGTCTAAATTACATTAGTTTCGTTATTTATTATACACAAGTTTATTTTCCACATACGCTTAAGGCTTACGTGAGTCCCGAATAAATAAATTCTTATTGGCTTATTGGACTTATTACTTGAGACTTATTGGAATTACAAATAAGTTATTCTCGATTCAAACAGCACTAAATATAATTTAACCTTTGAATATCATTTATAAAACATATTTTTTCCACATGGAAAAAATATTTCTGCTAAATTTCACCTTATTAAGACACTCAACATTTTGCAGCTCAGTTAGTTGAAGCCTGTATGTGTCGTCAAGCATGATATCAACATAAAAGCTTACCATGCTGCTTGTACTATTTAATAGAAATAATAAGAATAAAATATCAATTGTTTAGACATCAGCAGCTGTGAGTTGATATTCAAATGATGAGGAAAGCAAAAAATAATTTTTAAAAAAAATTGCTATGTTAGCTTCAGAGTTATAAGTTATTTAGTATGTATAATAATAGCAATGAAATTTGGTTTGTATATTAGCAATGAAATGTTTCGATTTGAGATATATGCTCAGCAAAAAGGTGGCTACATAGCCAAATTATTGATCATAGAGATTTCTGCTAATAAATTATTGTATTTATTCAAGATGAAAGTTTTTTTATTTAGTGCAGAAACAGAATTAAGAATCAGGACCCTCCCCGGTCTTTATTATGAAAAATTGTCTACTGCACATGTGTAAAATATTATGCTAACACTAACATTATGCATACACTAATCTTGGAATGTAACTCCTTCTCTTTTTTGCAAAAAAAAATTTTAAAAAAACTACTGTTGGTGGTCCCGACATTAAACATCTGGATTTTAGACATCCTACTAAATGAGATATTTCTTTTTAATGTTTTTGATTGTGTGGGTGATGTCAGATTTTTATATTTTGAGTATTATTATGGTAAACATCATCTATCAATAGTAAATAAATCTGTGGAGTAGCAGAATGAATTAGAATGAAATAACAGAGTATTTGCATATTCCTTTAAAAATATGCTTTACATATATTTAGGCAGGTTAATTTTTTCCCCCCTTGCAAAAGGACTTATGTATCAATTGCCTTTCAAATAAGTAGAATTTTATTCAAAATCTATGGCAAACTAAAGTTGCTTCTTGGCATAGTCTTTTGCTAATTTCCAAAACAGACTTTATATTATGGTTCTTACAATGGTAGAACTGCTAAGCTAAAACTGCACCAGTTCAAATGAAGGTATGCTAAGATATGATCTGCAACTTTTCCCCCAAATAGACACAATAAAATCTTGTTCCCTGAAATGCTAACTTAACAATATTAATGGAGGAAAGACTGTCTATTAGATAATTTCCAACTTTTTTTATTTATAGATACATTAACAAATGATTATAAAGTATACCTCTTGGGTATCTTGTAAGAAAAACTGAAATTCAGACATATCCATTCTAGTTTTTTGCTCCAAGATAGCACGCAGAGTTGTTAATGGCTCTGTAATGTCCATGTATAATATAATGATGGTACCAAAACCAGTTTCTGTCAGCAAACTGTAAATCACAAATGATATTTTATCAAGAAAAACACAATTAATATTTTGATACATTTTTAATCATACAAAAAATGGCAAATCCCAAAATTAACCAAAAATAAAATTCTGCAAATAGGTGAGAACAAAAGTTATGAATTTAAAAATAAATATGTGAATTTTGGACTACAAAAAACATAATTATGAGCACAAAACAGTATATATACACATTTTTGCATATGCAAATTAAGAAAGTCTATGAATGAAAAAAACATAGGCACACAGGCTTTGAATGAAAAGCAATGACCCATGCAGCTAAATTCACTCCTTTAATACCATTCTAAGAATAAAACAAAAGTATATGTGGGGTGTATTACTAATTAAACATAATCTAATATTTTACATAACTGTAAAACACATTTCAGATTAAATCAAAAGTTACCAAATAATTAACATTAAATTAGGGATGTAAGTGCCTGAAATATTTATATTTCATGTAGAAGTTTAATTTAAAAAAGTACAGTTTTATACATACTGTTACTGTTTTATACATAACCTAACTGTTAAATTTCCTTTGAGAACACCAAACAGGTGCCGGACAACAAAATTAAAATAAACTCACATAATACCTGAAACTTACAGACTGGTGACTGAAGTTAAACCAAATCACATAAGAGTCCTGATTGAAGTTTAACCAAATCACATAAGTTATCAACTTTGTAAAGTAAATTTTATTACTTCAAAGCTCAAACTCTTTAGGTCAAATCTCATACTGAAATGAGATAATATTTTATCTGGTGTTTTAGTATAAAATCAAAAGATTATTTTTCAATAAAATGCAATTCATTATCAAATTCCACAAATACTACCTCGTATTAAAATATCTATATCCTCTGACTATCCTGAAAACACGTAAATCTCAATACAATAATTCCTAAATTCTAGAGACAGCCACAAACTCTTTTTATAAAATACATAACACCAGAGAAGGATAAATCTGACAAGTAAGAATTCAATCACCAGTTAAAAATAAAACAAAAAAATCTGATCCTATAGTTCAATTACATATAAAATGAGTTTCCCAACTACACCACCGCAATAAATTACCCATGTTCATTTTGGAAGAATCCATGTTTTGCATACGGATCACATGGGGGACATGAACAGACCACTAAAATAAACATAAGCAAGATTTACGACTAAAACACATTTATTAATCAATGATTAACATACTATTATAAATTTTTTACTTAGACAAGAAATTTTAGTAGAATTAAATAAGTAAAAGTGTTGTTTTTTCCTGTGTAATGTAGTGCAAGACAAATTTTAAAAGAAAGCTATGTGGGAAAAGTAAGAATACAGGGGCTAATGCATTTAACATTAGCTCAGTAATTTGACAATATCTCTCTAAGCTGACTACATTTTTGGCAAATAAATAAGTCGTCAAATTTGACAAGAAATCACCAAATGTCATTAAATTTGGCAACATTTTCCTCCGGTCCATGTATCACCGCAATAAGTATTTGTTACTGAATAAATGTAATTGACCACTATGTTAGTTGTAACTGTAATTCCACCCTCCTGCTTTCCAGTAATTTTCGGAAGTAGAAAGTACTAGAATTATCTCGGCGGCCAGTTGAAAACAGCAAAAAAGAGAGCATCTGCTCTCAGTTGCTTAGTTATTGTCGTTGCGAGTTGCAGTTTTGCTTGAATTGAGATAAATCTGAGTTAGCTTTCTCTCTTGATTGTGTTGTGTTTAACATTCGTGGTAGTTTGAAGTGTAGTTACTGATTATGAAGTGTGATACTGTGAATACTTTTATAAATATTTCTGTGGAAAATTCCAGAGTTCTGAAATATTTCTTTTGATAAAAATAAATTTTATTAACTTATTATCAGACTTGTGCATTCAATCTATTATGAACCCGTACGGCACACAACGCTATATTAAAACAGCTGGCCAGTATCCCTACATCATTAGATTAACACGTTGATGCTGGCATGACCCACTGGTGGCCCATGCTTGTCTGTTTCATGGGACAGCCTAACCCACCGGTGGCCCATGCTAGATTGTTCCGTTGGGCGGAATGCATCACTGATGGGCCACATTTGTATATAAAAAAATACGTAGTACAAAATGCAATTTTATTGATTTAACCTTATACGTTAACATTTCTACCTTACAATCAAACATTTAACACAAAATACATAACTTATAATTTAATCAATACATTAAATATAATTACTTATGTTACCGATGCAATTTTTTAAAACATTTTTAAACAAAGTGCCGGCTTATCCGGACAACTGCTACAAAAGGTCATTACTTTCTTTGTTTTGTTTGTGGCGTACTGTGTACCTTTTAAGTTTGTTAAGCATTTGTAACACCCTTTACGTCTTTTCTCATCTTCGTTGCAGATCCTTGGTGTGAACTTAAAAAATGTTTTTTTCCGTCTACTTACTATTAATTCTTCACTAGGGGGGATTCTCAACACTTCAATAGATAATCAATAATTTTTTCTCTAAATTTTAAAATTTGATAACGCTTGGTTCCCCACTTTTTGTGAAAGTACCACGCATTTACTAAACAGATCCCACATATTAAGCTCAATACCATTTTACCCTTTTCCGTAAACATTTATAATAAGAACACATTTGGTCAGATATATCAACTCCCTTTTTTGCGCTATTGTACGAAAAAACGGTATCTGGTTTTAATTTATCATCTTTTCCATAAATAATGGCGCAATTGTGAGATCTCGAAGTGGTTAACATGTACAGGGGTCTTTTGTCGATCCACTTTAAAAATTTCACGCCGCTCCGATTATAAAGAGATATAATGTCGCCCCGTTTGTGTTTTTGCTTTGCCTGCGGAGGTAGAAATTTTCGATTCATTTTGACTGTACTGTAAATATATGTTCTTTTAGTGAGAATATCTTCAGCTAAAGGAATACATGTATAAAAACTGTCGGTAAATAAAATTCGGCCTTATATAATAGATCTCCTATCAATTTCATGACTACATCAAGAGAATGTGTTTTTACAATTATCATTTCATTTTTTCCAGAATAAATATGCATACTGTATGTATATCCACGTGGAAGGCAGAGTTTGTACCATTTTATTCTGTATGTGTGCCGCTTACCTGGTATATATTGACAAAAACTAAGGCGTCCTTTTCACGGAACCATGCTTTCGTCAATTACTATATTTTTAGCGGGTTTTACTGCATCTTTGAATGTATGAAGAATTTTATCAACTACATTTCGGAGTTTATGTAAACGATCCTCGGTTCTAACCGTTTCATTATCGGAAAAGTGCAAGTATTTCAATACTGCTAAGAATCGATCACGTTTCATTGCTTTCTGTATACACGCATTCGCATACATCCCCTTTTGGACCAATATAGTCGAATTTCAAGTACCTGCACTACACCCATAATAAGCAAGATACCAATTCAACAATGATCTCCAATATCTCGTGCATGAAGAATAATTTATATAATGCAACACGATCATTGCAGTCCGTCTCTTCGATCAGTAGCTCTTCTTCTTCCAAATACTCTTCCTCTGATGCAGATTTTTCTGCTATTTTCCGCTATTCCGCATCATCATCTTGGTCAAATACATCAGACTCCCAAACATCTTCCACTGTGGTATTTTATCAGTTGCTGTGTCTGATGATTATGAAAGTATTTTATTTCTTCGTCTCTTTCGCACGATTCCAGATACGGATTCATCAGACGAATCACTAAATTCCATATCCATTGTATCTAATATTTAAATGAGCAAAAATGAAAAATGAAAAATGCTAACCGCCTTTTTAGAAGGAAAGAAACTTTTTACTACCGTTACACTTACCAGAAGAAATGTATTCTCAGATAATTGTTATGTCAGAACTCTACTGACCCTGCGCCTCACAGGCACTTAACACAGAATACACAGAATAACCAATGTGAGTGTTCTTTAGGCTGGCATGTTTCATGACATAGTACAGTCAAAAGTCTTTAATCCGGACTCGTCGGGACTTCGGTGATTCCGGATTATCGGTTTTTCCGGATTATAGACCATCGGTTTAAATCTGGTAAGATGGCATGCAGAAATTATAAAATTAAAAATATGAAACCGTAATTTATAAAATAATGAGCAATTATGATCTAAAGGGTATCAAAATTTACAAAAAAAAAAAAAGCTTAACATTTATTTGTTTACTTTATTAAACATTTCTTTCAACGCATGCATGCATAAAGCATACATTACGCATAGTCGAAATTAGAAAATTGCAACCAGAAAACTAATTGATGTGTACTCGTGATATTTATAATGACGAGGAATTTGATTTAAATCATATCAAAGACGGAGTACATTGAGATGAAATACTACATTTAGTAAGGAATTATAAGCCAAATAAAATAAAAACATCTGCCCTGAAGATAAGGATAGTGCTGACAGATCAACTTCCAGTTCATTGCGTGATGCGACATTCCCCCCCCCCCTTCCCCGCAGAGCAGCGTGAAATTGATAAACAGATTTCGGAATGGTTAGAGAAACAAATGATATGCTTTTATCAATTTTTTGCAGCATGGACATCAAAACATACTTTCGCTTTGTAGATCCTTTACATATTAGTAAATATATATCGGAAATTCTATTTGACATAATCGAAAGTTCAAGCTTACTTTTATAAAATTGCTCTAACAGTCTGCAAAAAATAATAAGCCGGATCCAATTCAAAGATTAAGGAACAACGCAATCTGCAACATTAACTGAAATAGATAATTAGATAATTTTAGCTTATACCGCCCGTTATACATTAAACGTGCATGCATAAACGTATTATGCGCATGCGCACACGCATATGCGCAGTCGTAAAGGTCTTACGTGCATGCGTAAAAGCCTATGCAGTTGACGCATGCGCAGAAAGTTTGTAGCTTTGAGGTCCGGATTATAGATCATTCTGGATTATGGCTGTCCGAAGTTTGACTATACCATTTTATTAGAAAATATGGCGCAAATTAGCGGAC